TGTAGAGAGGCGTCACTGTATAATGGCTGACATGGGAGTAATTAAATAGAAAGGTGATAAGAACACACCCTCCCGGAGGGATCTTTTAATTAAACATCACAACAAATTAAAAACAAAATTGCCCAGCATCGATGCACGGTGCACGCAGTTCGATCAGCGATTTGGACCCAGAACGACAAATTGAAACAAGCACCACAGAGGCAGAGGGCAGAAACAGTGCGGATCTGCAGAATTCGGAAACTGCAGATTGCCAAGTTAAGGCGAAAATGGAAAGGGAATATTCCGTTATGTGGAGCAGTGCTGAGACAAGCAAACACTCCGAATAAAAAAAAAAGCAGATTGCGTTTTCTCAGATGCTTGAAGCTTTCCTTGACAGAACTGCCGGGACCTGGTTGAGGTCCTCACCTGAAGCAGGTAAGTTTCACCTCTGGGGGAACTGCCAGCTCTTGTCATTTCACCTCCTTTGTTCCCTCTTGGGTGTCTTTCTTCGTCAGTCTAGACATGAATTTGGTGAATTTTGTCTAATATTTATTCTACGACACGGCAAGAACCGTGTCTTGATTTATTTTTTCAGATTCAGTGTAAAATGTTAAATCCCTAACTCGAGTGGCAGGGATCGCTGTGACCCCAAGGTCTATTTAAAATAATCCACTTGCGGGCCTTTGTCAACATTCGAACCCGAGTCTGTCCAGGAAACATCTATAGTCTAGGATGTCCATTCCTGATTCAGAGACTCTGCTGGGAGATGCAGATGTGGAAAGTGACGCTTCTCAAATCGAATAGCATACGCCACCCATGAATTATTTTGTGATGAATGGTCATTTGAAATTGGCCTTGGCCTAAATTTTAGTTCCTTTAACTATTTCCCGTCATATTCTTCAGTGAACTAATTCATTTGTAGATACCATCTGCAAACAATCCAAATGCACAAATGCTTTTCCTTTCCCTTCTCTGTTATTCAATTTACATTTCTGAAAAAAATAATTAACTTTCCTTATTGCGACTGTTTGGCATCAGAGATTTCTCCAGCAGCCGATTCTGAAATGAACTCTGTTACACTGGGAATTGCATTCAATCTGAATCAATGTAATTGAGGTCTTACAGTAATTTTAAAAATGGTTTTAGGCGATAACTTTTTGTTGTAACTTTCAAACTTAAATAGTGACAGGTTCAGTCTGCATGGAAATTTTGACCTGCTTTATATATTTATGAAATAAATACTTTTGAAGTATTCTCAAGTTCCTGCTCGCATTAACAATGGAAATTACTGATGTAAACATGTCATGCTGTATAAAAATTCACCAGAGGAGGTGCTACAGCACCAACAGTGGTTGTGGGGTGCGTATGGTGTGGTGGGGGGGGCTTTACATAAGTGGTTTCCATTAGAGAAGTAAGAACAATAATTTATATTTACATAAATATTAAAAATAAGGATAGATCATATGACTTTAAAATGAATTATATCTACATGCCCTGGCTATTATGTACTGGTCTCTCACATCAACACTTTCAGACTGTACAGTTTTGACTCCCCAAAAGGAATATATAGAACATAGAACAGTATGGCACAGTACAGGCCCTTCGGCCCATGATGTTGTGCCAAACTTTTACCCTAAACCTAAGGTCTACCTAAGCTCCACCCCTACCTTATACTATCATCCATATGCCTATCTAATAGCCGCTTAAATGCTCCTAATGAGGCCGACTCCACTACCCTCTCCGGCAATGCACTCCATGCCCCTGAGTAAAGAACCCACCTCTGATGCCTCCCCTATATCTACCTCCACTCACTTTAAAACTATGCCCCCTTGTAATAGCTACCTCCACCCTAGGAAAAAGTCTCTGGCTGTCTATTCTATCTATACCTCTGATCATTTTGTACACCTCTATCAAGTCACCTCTCGTCCTTCATCGTTCTGAAGAGAAAAGCCCTAGCTCTCTCAACCTTACCTCATAAGACCATCCCTCCATTCCAGGCAATATCCTGGTAAATCTCCTCTGCACCTTTTCCAACGCTTCCACATCTTTCCTGTATTATCACAAGAGATTAACTAGTGATATACCACTGCTTTTCAAACCTGTTGTGACTGTGACCACATATCAAGGCTTGGCAATTGTTGTGATCTCTTCAGTCAGAACTGAGACAGTGGGTTCAGGAGGCTGTGAGGGCAGGGGTCCGTTAAAAAAGGTGTAGGACTGATATAAACATACAAGTTAACTTGGTCAGAGCCCCATGACACCTATTGCTGCCTCAGAGCTCAGGACACTAACATTTCAATTTGAAACCTCACTTGGTTTCCCAACCCCGATTTTGGGAAGTTCTGCTGCAAACTAAAATTACCAAGGGTCACCAGACTCGAAATGTTAACTCTGATTTTTTCTTCACAGATGCTGCCAGACCTGCTGAGCTTTCTCAGCAACTTCTGTTTTTGTTCCCGATTAACAGCATCCGCAATTCTTTCGGTTCTTTAAATTACCATTGGTCTGGAATGTAGTAGAAAGCTCCTCAGACTGCACTGTACGTAAAATCCATTGGGAATGATTCCGATTTTCCTATTTTTCCCCAAGATTTACTATTTACTCAAGTACATTCTCTAGACACCAGCCTTCTTCTCTCCCAACATCCTTTTTTTTCATGTGAACTGAAACTGTGGTTATTGAAAGGCTATTTTATTAGGTTGTTAGGGAAAGAAATTACCTTTTCAATATCTTTTCTCTCTTCCTCACTGTCCTTTAGTTGTCCCTCTTGTTCTTTTTTTTTTACTCTCCCCCCCACTTTCTCTGAATTCTACTTTCATCCCTCTCTCTCTGTCTCTTTGCCCCTCTCCTTCTCTTTGTCAGTATGACTCTGGCCAATGGGAGGATGTGGCCAAATAAGGGAAAGCAGCAAGGTGTAGGTCCAAGCGGAGATCATAGTTAATAAGAACAAGAACAAAGAACAAGACAGCACAGGAACAGGCCCTTCAGCCCTCCAAGCCTGCACCAACACGTTTTGCTGTTCCATATGAAAACTGTCTTCACTTATAGGATCCGTATCCCTCTATTCCCTTTCTATTCATGTAGTCATCCAGGTGCCTCTTGAATGCTGCTATCTGCTTCCACCACTTCCTCTGGCAGTGTGTTCCAGGCACTCACTACCCTTTGTGTGAGAAACTTGACTCGTACATCAGTTTTAAACATCTCCCCCCTGCACCTTGAATCTGTGCCCCTAGTAATTGACCCCTCCAGCCTGGGAAAAGGCCTCATACTTTCCACTCTACCCATGCCATTCAACATCTTATAAACATCTATAAGATTTGGAGTAGTAACTACAAAACAGCTATCACTTATTCGAAATACTGTTTACAACCGGGGAAGCTTACAGCAGCTTCCAAATTACTAGCATCAACACAGATCGATAAAGAAACAACTTTATCTTTCTACAGATCCCTTTACAACTTTACTACAGCTTTACCAAAGCACTTGCCTGCCTGTGACAGCCACTGTTTTAATGTTTGAAATATGAAAATAGAAACAAGAAGGAATAGGCCATTCAGCCCCTCGAGCCTGCTGTGCCATTTAATAACATCATGGCTGACCTGATTGTAACTTCAATTCCACACTCCCATTTATTTGTAATAACTTTTCACCTCCTCTCTTAACCAGAATCCACACACATCTGCCTTAAAAATACCCAAAGACTCTGCCCCCATCGTCTTCAAAGACTTGTGAAAATAATTGCCTCATCTCAGTTTTACAGTGGTGACCCCAGATGTTAAAAGTGGCCCCAAGTTCCTCTCCAAAGAGGAAGCATCCTTTCCACATTCACCCATTCAAGTCCCCTCAGGATCTTTGATTTTTCAATCAAGTCATCAATGACTGTTTTAAACTCCAAACCTGTCTAACCTTTCCTCATGACAGACAACTCTCCTATTCCAGGTATTAGTCCAGTGAACCTACTCTGATGTTTCATTAACTGAAGAACTGAAGAACAGAACTGCTTCTGAGGAAGGGTCACTGGACCAAAACATTAACTTTGATCTCTCTCCACAGATGGTGTCAGACCTGCTGAGCTTTTCCAGCAATTTCTGTTTTTGTTTCAGATTTCCAGCATCTGCAGTTCTATCGGGTTTTGATTTAAATAAATGGTGTACTTTGTTTTAAGGCACCAGCAACATCCTTTAGGGTGACAATTAGAGATCCAGGCTTTGGATGCCACCATGTCACGTTTCTGTCAACTCCTGGCTTCACTGCTGCTCTGTGAATTACTGGTAACAGGTATGTGAAGAAAGAACTGAAAACACAAAATGCTGGAAATCACAGCGAGTCAGGCAGCATCTGTGGAGAGAGAGCAAGCTAATGTTTCAAACCTGGATGACTCTTCAGCAGAGCTGATGGATACTGCCTGACCTGCTGTGACTTCCAGCACTGTTTGTTTCCATTACGGATTCCAGGATCTGCAGAAATTTGCTCCTACATTATGTAATTGCATGTGTATGGAATCTTCAACAATCTCAGGTCCCAATGTGCTGTACAAACAATTAAGAACTTTTTGAAAAGTGTAGTTACTGGGACAATGTAGGAAGTGCAGCAGCTAATTTCCACAGAACAAACTCTCATGAGCAGCAATATGATAAATAACCAGATAATCTGTTTTAGTAATGTTAGTCAAGGGGAGATATTGGCCAGTGTTTTAATGCAGAAAGCCAACTGGTGCAGATAGTAGTGCACTAATTTTTACACAGTTAAATGTATTTACAGAGTTCCATATTATAAGCATGCAGCTCCTAACTGAACAAACGTAGTTTCAGTCTATGTCAACAGGGATCTAGGTAAATCATCAGTCAATGACCACCAATTGCATTTAATTAAGTATAATTAATACACAGTTAAGAGCCGGGACCCATGGGAGAACTTCCTTGCCTTTGTTTAAAATGTCTCATGGAAGCTTTTATGTCCACCTGAGAGCGTGATCAGGGTTTCAGTTTAATGTCTCATCCTAACAGTGTGATGACTCTCTCATAGTGCACTGTCAATGTAGACTCACTGAGCCATGGGTGGCACTCCCTGTCTGTCTCACCTCTGTCCATTCACTGATGCTGGGATGTTGGTTTGGCAATGAATCAGGACAAGATAGGGGCCATTAATGATTACCTTGACAAGTTAAAAAACTGTTGAACTTGCTGTCTAGACTATTGCATTAAAAAGAGATGTTTGGGTAAAATACTAGAGTAGGTCTGTGCACTAACTGTCATGCTTGTGAAGAGGAAGGGCGGTTTTTGAAGAAGTAGGAAAAGGACAAAATAAAGTTTTATTCCTGACTGTTTATGGATTATCAAATTGCATCTGCCATCTGTTGGCCTGGTTTCCTGAAAACATTCACAGTCTTCGATTTCTGGTTGTGTTGTTGCCCTGAATTCCAGTTGTGTTGTACCTCTGTTGAAACCACAACATATGATCACCTGACAATAACATCTCGCTTTTCAGTTTCTGCTTCTAAATACAGGATCTGTGAGCCGTATCTGGATGCTGCAAAAAAGTACCACTCTGGATTCCACTGTCCACGGCTTAATGAAGATCAGAGACAAACCCACTGCTGTCATCAGAGCAACCAAACCTTGAAATATTGCTGCAATGAAGCTGAATTTCAGAGCACAATGAAAATGAACAAGTCAGCACAGACAAGGAGCTCTGTGTACGTATGAAAATGGGACCAGTGTAAGTGCAGGTGAAGGAGAATAGTGCAGGTTCACGGGATAGCTGTCAAACTAGTGATGGCTTTGAGTTGGAGTGTCTTCATTTTATTTTATTCACTCACAGGATGAGGGTGTTGCTGGCTAGGCAGTATTTATTGCCCAGACGGCAGTTAAGAGTCAACCACATTGCTGTGGGTCTGGAGTCACATGCTGCCCAGACCAGGTAAGAATGGCAGGTTCCTTCCCTCAAGGACATTAATGAACCAGATGGGTTTTCCAACAATCAACAATGGATTCATAGTCATCATTAGATTCTTAATTCCAGATATTTATTGAATTAAAATTCCACAATCTGCCATGGCAGGATTTGAACCTGGGTCCCCAGAACATTATCTGGGTCTCTGGATTAGCAGTACAGTGATAATACCACTAGGCCATCACCTCCCCATCATGGGGAAAACAACGGATCTCCCACTGTGCCAATTAAAAGGAAAATGGGTTTTCTTAAATTTAATGATTGGAAAGTGAGGTGTAGTAGTAGTGGTTCAGAGGATGATTGTTGTCTTGGTGGGAGCAGCTCATTGCTGACACAAAAACAGAAATTGCTGGAAAAGCTCAGCAGATCTGGCAGCATCCGTGGAGAGAATTCAGTGTTAACATTTCGGGTCGAGTGACCCTTTGTCAGATCAGAAGCCAAAGACAGGAGGTGCTGGAATTCAGCCAATGTTCCCACATCCGGATGCTACCTTGTAACCCCTGAGACGTGTGTTGGGCATGGAAGGGCGGGGAGCAAAGGGTCTATCTGTAATCCTGGGGCACAGACTGTCAAATATCTTACCTTTATTGCCATAGCTGAGGTCAGCTGATAAAGTACAGACCAGAGATCAAGTCCCTCTACCTTCCAGTAAGAGTAGCAATGGCTATTGTTTGATTAAATCATCTTCTTCAGTTCTCTGCACAAAGGTAGGTCCAATGCCTGGTGTTGTCACCTTCATCATAGGTAGGGCAAGGAGGCAGGTCGAATATCCAGCCCAGGCTGGAACAGGGAACGAGCACTGATCGTACCTGCACCAGCCAACTGGCTCCCCAAAGGGAACTGAGCCTTTGTAGCAACACACACTTTCACATGTCGCACTCTGGAGCCATGGATGGTGATGGCAGAGGCTGCAATATTCTTTCCATCACATGGCTGACCAAGAATCTCTCCCACTCTTACATCCCACCATTGGTGTGAATTGTAAGGATTTACAAGTTGATCGTCAACCTACTTGTCTGTGTCATAAATGCAATGTCCGAGGCCATCAAGTCTTGGAATGGGACTTGAACCTGAAGCTTCTGGCTCAGAGACAGGGACACTACCCATTGCTACACAAGCTCTCCAATATTGCAATAAATAGATGCCATGATAGGAAAGGTTGCTTCATTATTGATTGACTGTTTGAAATTGTGTTGGTGACATTTCCTAACTTATTATTACGGGTACTCTGCTGTTAATCATTAATAGCTGATATGTGTCCTGTCTTGTTCTCTTCTCACCCCCAGTAATTACGGATCAATGGCTGTGGTCTTTGTGTATGGTCTCTGTGTTGTGGCCCTGTTGTTGACAGACCTGCTTCATTACTACATGCTAAACAGGCACAATCTCTGGTGGTACCAGCCTCCCCACTGTCTCTGTGGATGCTGCAATGGTGACCACAAAAAAACAAGCTCAGACACAACCCAGAAGTGAGTGCTGTCATCGCTGGTCATCACCGGGGCAATGGTCATTGCTGAGTAAATGGTCATCGCCAGATAATGGTCATCAATGAATCAATGGTCATGTTGCATCATGGTCATCACTGAGTCAATGGTCAATGCTGGGTGAATGGTCATCACTGGATTAATGGTCATCAATGAGTCAATGATTACCACTGGATTAATGGTCATCAATGAGTCAACGATTATCACTGGGTTAATGGTCATTACTGGATTAATGGTCATCAATGAGTCAACGATTATCACTGGGTTAATGGTCATTACTGGATTAATGGTCATCAATGAGTCAATGATTATCACTGGGTTAATGGTCATTACTGGGTTAATGGTCATTACTGGGTCAATGGTCATTACTGGGTCAATGGTCATCACTGGGTTAATGGCATTCAGGCAGCTTATATCTACTGACATTTAAAGATCTTTTCATTGATGATATGACTGGGCAGTGGTGGAAATGCCAGCATTGAGCTGATCTTTAAGGGGAGGCTGGGTTCACAGCTAAATATTGCAACCATGGCTCTGTCTATGCCTTCAGATCGCTTGCACTGCTTGAAGGACAGTGAGAGAATTCCCCATGGTGTCTTGGTCAATATTTATACCTTAACATTAAAAGGATTGCCTTGTCATTATTACATTGCTGATAGTGGGAAATTGCTGTGCACAAATTGGTTGCTACATTTCTGACATTACAGTGGTGACTACACTTGAAAAGTAGTCCATTGTCAGTGAAGTGCTCCAAGGTTTCTGATAGTCATGAAAATGTATATAAATGTAAATTTCTATTTCTTTTCATGGGCTAGCTCAGGTGACCAGTTATAACTAATATGATAAAATCAGACTACGTGTACTTGTACCCATGCTCACTGTGCTGTGATGAAGGGTCGAGGCCCGAAACGTCAGCCTTTCTGCTCCTATGATGCTGCTTGGCCTGCTGTGTTCATCCAGCCCTGCACCTTGTTGTCTCGGATTCTCCAGCATCTGCAGTTCCTACTATCTCTGATTCAATTTTAACCTCACTGTGCTATGACTTGGTTCAGACCACATACATTAAATAGACTTCATTCAGATGGCAACATTCTGGGATTGATCACATAAATAATTTGAGACAACCTGTGGTAAGTGCAACATCTTTGAGAGGAGCAGATGACTTTGGAATGAAAGCAAACTATTGCATATGCTGGAAATCTGAAATAAAAACATAAATTGTTGGAAAATATTCAGCAGGTCTTGAAGCATCTGTGGTGAGAGAAATAAAGTTGACATTTGGAGTTTGAAATGATCCTTCGGAACATCCTTCAGTTCTGAAGAAGCCACATTTGACCTGAGATGTAATTGCCATTTTTCACTCTCCACAGATGCTGTCAGATCTGCTGAGTTTCTCCAGCAATTTCAGTTTTTAGGTAACTTTGAACCCCTAGTTCTCAGGGTTCTCCACCACTGGGGATTTTCCCATTGGATAGAGTGTAATCACAGTGATGGATGTAAATATACTGGAATTGGGTCAGAGAACATTTACTCGACTAACACCTGGAATGGGAAGGTTGTCTTATGAAGAAAGGTTGGGCAGATAAGCTTGTATTCACTGGAGTTTAGAAGGATGAGAGGTAACTTGATTGAAACATATAAGGGTTCTTGACAGGATGGATGGAGAGGATGTTTCCTTTTGGGGAATCCAGATTGAGGGGACACTGTTTAATATGGGATTACCTATTCAAAACAGAGATAAGGAAATTTATTTTCTTTGGAACTCTCTTCCTGAAAATGCAATGGAAGCGGAGTCTTTAAGTATTTTAAAGGCAGAGATAGACAGCTTCTCGATAAGCAAGGAGGTGAAAGATTATGATATATTATAGTCAGAAGTCACATGACATCAGGATATAGTCCAACAGGTTTATTTGAAATCACAAGCTTTCAAAGCGCTGCTTCTTTTGTCAGGTGAAGTGACTTCACTTAATTCTGAAAGCGTGTGATTTCAAATGAACCTGTTGGACTATAACCTGGTGTCGTGTGACTTTTGACTTTGTCCACCTCAGTCCAACAAGGCACTTCCACATCTTGGATATATTTTAGGATTAGGAGTAGCAGCTTCAAAATGCTGAGTAAATTTACGGTGGAGATAGACAGGTTTTTAATGAGTAATGCTTTGGACGGTTATGAAGAGTGGGCAGGAAAGTGGAGTTGAGGCTGAAAGGAGATCGGCCATGATCGTATTAAATAGTGGAGCAAGCTTGAGGAGCTGAATGGCCCACTCCTACTCCTAGTTCTTACATTATGAGTGTGACAGGCAGGAATGTGGAATAATCAGATCAGGCATGATCTTAATTGAATTTGGAGAACAGGCGCGAATGGCTGAATGGCCTACTCCTGCTCCTAATTCAGATGTTTGTATCCTTAGTCAATAATTTAGTGTTGTGGTATTATACCTGTCAGAATGGTAGAGAAGGAAACTGAATGGACTCTGGTCTTTCTCATTTCTAAATGCCTGTGTTCCCACGTCAACTGTTTGCTCTGCCTTGGAGTTTGCAGCTGTTACAGATGGACTGCAATTCCGGTCTCCCAGGTTACACGTGGAGCAGTGGCTGTTGGTAATAGACTGGGGCTGTGTGGATACACTGGGTGCAGGAGTAATTTCTCCTGGTGAAGCTGATCAGAAAATTACCCCTTTTAATGTCGTTGTGATCGCCAACGAAACCAACTAATTATGCACATTCTTTCCATTTATTCCCTTCTGGCTAGGAATGTTCTGTGCAATTATTCCTTACTGGGACTGGCATAAGTACATTATCCTCATAACCATTCTTTACATGGGAGGGTCAGATGTTTTGCTAACCTTGTGCCTCTCCTCTCATTGGCCATATACTTCCCAATAGGAATCATTAGATGTTGTGCAGATGCACAGGATCATGGCTGACTTTGCCCCTCAGCAGGCCATGGACACTAAAAACACCTTCCTTTTCTTTAATTAGTCCTGTTTAAAAGTCAGTCTGAGAATGTGGGTGTTGCTGGCTGGGCCAGCTCTTATTGCCTGTCCCTAGTTGCCCTTGAGAAGGTGGTGGTCAGCTGACATCTTGGACTGCTGCAATCCATGTGCTGTGGGTTGACCCACAATGCCCTTAGGGAGGGAATACCAGGATTTTGACCCAGTAACACTGATGGGACAGCAATATGTTTCCAAGTCAGGATGCTGAGTAGCATGAAGGGCATCTTGCAGAGGATAGTTTTCCTCTGTATCTGCTGCCCTTGTCCTTCTAGACGCAGTGGTCACAAGTTTGCACATTGCTGTCTGAGGAGCCTGTTCAGTTGTTCTTGTTGTCCTTTAAGCTCTAGGCAAACCCAGAACCAGGTAGCTGGTACCCCAAGCTCAACAGCACAACTGAAGCATGACACCTCTGACAGCGTAGTTCTCCCTCAGTGCTGCATTTTATTACATCTGGAGAGTGGAGCTCAAACTCTCTTTCATAAACTGATCAACCAAAGGGGCAAGAGTGTCACAGACTGAGCCAAACTAACATGAACTCTTTGAATATACACTCTGTAAATTTGATGATTATGAAAGTAGAATTACAGGATGATATTGTGCAAATCACTGTTACAGATGAAATAAAATATGATTTATCACATGCTGTGTCACTTCAGGTTCTGTGCAACTAGTATTTAACATCAGCAACATTTATTAATTTACCTTATTCTGTAGACAGTGCATTTCTGTTCTCAATCACTAAATATTGACATATACAGAGGTAAGCCGTGATGATTATTCCATCAATAACAGGAAGTTGGGTAAGTCCACAAGGCAGAAAGGAATTCTGTCTTTCAGTTCCTAGATGTTTGAAATAATGATATATTAGGCTTCCAAAGTTGGGAGCTTTTTGCTTCATTCTAATCTGCAATGCTTTAAGGTAGAAGACCAGTTGGGCCAGTGCTGTGTTATACAAAAGCCAGATTTCCACTGCAACCATGAATGTGGCCCCTCTGAAACACTTACCCAATGTACAATTGATTGCTGCTAATTAGCTCTTGATCTTTAAAGACAGTACAACAATAAATAACAGAAAGAAATGCTGACAGGGTAAGATGACGTAGAGAGGACTCATGTTGAACATAAACACCAGAAATGGGTCTAAATGGACTACCTCTGTGCTATATAATTCTTTACTGTTCAATTTTCTTTATTCATTCAAGGGGTGGGGGAGTCACTGGCCAGGCAGCATTTATTGCCCATCCCTAATTGCCCAGAGGCCAGTTAAGAGTCAACCACACTGCTGTGGGTCTGGTGTCTCACGTAGTCCAGACAGGGTAATGATGGCAGATTTCCTTCCCCAAAGGACATTAGTTTTTACAACAATCAACAATGGTCACATGATTGCCATTACTTTTAATTCCAGATTTTTGCTGAATTCAAATTTCACCAGCTGCCACGGTGGGATTTGAATTCATGTCCAGATCGTTCATTAATCTCGGGTTCTGGGTCACCAGTCTATTGATATTACCGCTACACCACCCCCTTCACTTCTTCAGAAGACATCAAACTGTAGAGCTCATGCTGGGCATGCAATAAATCAGGAAATTGGAGATGCATGTCACATGGTTAATCAATAATAATGGACAACTTCAATCTGCATATAGACCGGTTTAACTGAGTCAGCACGAATGCTGTGGGAAGTGAATTCCTGGAGCACGTACCAGATGGGTTCCTGGAACAGTATGTTGTGAAGCCAATTAAAGATCAGGCTGAATTTGTTGTTTAATTAAAAACTTTGTAGTAAGGGAGCCTATGGGTAATAGTGACAACAATTCAAACATGATGTTTGAATATGAATAGTTCATTCTGAAATTAGGATCTTAATTCTGAGCAGAGGAAACTCTGAGTGTCTAAGAGGCAAGTTGGCTAGGGTTGGATTGGGAAAATCCTCGTAAGGTTTTGATGGCAGACAGACAATGGCTAGTATTTAAATAAACACTACATGGTTTATAACAGATATACACCCACGAGGAAACTTAACTCAACCATGGTCAACAAAATATGTAGAGTTGCACTAGATCAAAGGAAATGGTTTACAAGAATGTCAAAATAGGGTAAACCAGAGGATTAGGAACAATCTATGACTGAGCAAAGGAGGACCTAGAAATTGATGAGGGAAAGGAGAATATGAACACAAGTTAGTGAGGAAACACAAAGGCAAACTGTAAATACTTCTATCAATACATTAATGGGAAAATGTTAGTAAGGATAAAGTATGGGCTAATTGCAGGTGGGGACAAGAGAACAGGGAAAGGTGGAAACACAAACAATTACTTTGTATTTGTCTTTTCAGAAGAAGACTTTTTTTCTTTATTCATTCAGGGGATGAGGGCATCGCTGGTGAGGCAGCATTTATTGCCCATCCCTAATTGCCCAGAAAGGATGGTAGTTTCCTTCCCTAAAGGACATTAGTGAACCAGATGGGTTTTTCCGACAATCGACAATGGATTCATTAGACTCTTAATTCCAGGTATTTAATGAATTCAAATTCCACCGTCTGCCATGGCGAGATTTGAACCTGGGTCGCCAGAACGTTATCTGGGTTTCTGGATTAACAGTCCAGCAATAATATCACTAAGCCATTGCCTCCCCTGCAGAAAAGATGCAGAAAATCACCCAGAAAAACCACGTGACCAAGAAACCTATGTGAGTGAAAAGCTAAAAAAAAAATTAGTACTGGTCAAGAGGATGAAAAGTGAGCGGACTTGAGGGTTGATGAATCTCCTGGATGAGATGAGTTTCATTCCAGAGTTCCGAAGGATGTATCAATAGCGATAGCGGATGCATTTTGTTTCATAATTCTATAGACTCCGGAAATTTTCCTACTAATAGCAACTGTAACCCCACTATTTAAAAAGAGAGAACAAATGGGGACTACAGACCTTTAGCTTTACATCCATAGCGGGGAAAGTGTTAGAATCTATTATAATGGATGTGATAACTGAATATTTAGAAAATAATGATAAAATTGGGTTTAATCAACACAGATTTATAACATAAAATACGTTTGACAAACTTGGAGTTTTTTGAGGATTTCACTTGTACCATAGACAAAGGACGACCTGTTGATGTTGTGTATTTGGATTTTCAGAAGGATTTTGATAAGGTCCCATGCTGGAGGTTAGTAAATAAAATGAAAGCACATGAGATTAGGGGAATATACTAGTTTGGATTAAGAATCAGTTAGACAGAAAACAGAGAGTAGGAATTAACAGATAATTCTCAGGGTGACAGGATATCAATGATTTGGATATGGCAACCAATCATAATGTTTCCAAATTTGTTGATTATATCAAACTGAGTGGGAATTTAAAACCCAGAAGAACTGTCACTCATCTGTATCCACATAGATAAGGAGAACCACCAATTAGATTGGGACAATACCAAGATCCTGGGACAAGCAAAGCAGAGACAAGCACGGGAATTCCTAGAAGCCTGGTACTCCACGAAGAAAGACACCAACAAACACCTATAACTCGACCCCATATATGCTCCGCTATGGAGGAAAACCGGAAATGAGGTAATCCAGCTCAACAGACTCCAGAGTTTAAATACCAGGCGGGAAAGCACAACAGCGCTTCATCAGAGGCTGCACTGATGATGTTACCCAGCAGGGTAATGAAACTTCTGCGGAGAAAAAAACGAACCAGCTCGGCAAGCCAACCAACCACAACACACACAACCCGAGCTACATATCTACTGTAAAACCTAAGTGTGAAGTTATTTATTTTGGTAGTAAAAATACTGTAATATTTCTTAAATGGTCAGAGGTTGTGAAATGTGGGTGTCCCCGTCCATGGGTCACTAATAACTAGTGTCCAGGCGCAATTAAGAAAGCAAACAGTAGGTTGGCATTAATTTCAAGGGGATCTGAGTACAGAATAAAAGATATCTTGCTCATATATGTGGTACCTTAAGGGACATACTCATTATGTCATCTTCATATCACAGGATGTGATCTAATGGTATAAAGCTCACATGTCTCCGCCTTACTGAGCTCTGTCCTCTTGCAGCATGACATGCTGATTGGTGTGCTCAGACCTGCTCAGTAGTGCGGGAGCATTATTCTTCAGTACTATGTGACCTATGTTTCATCCTTATGTTAGGGGAGCTAATGTAAGCATCACAGCATTGGTATTGGCTGTTGAACAGGGTCTTGTTGAGAGCTCACCTGGACTATTGTGTACAGTTTTGGTCTCCTTATCTAAGGAAAGATGTACTTACCATAGAAGGCATGCAACAGAGATTCGCCCAGTTAATCCCTGTGAAGGTGGGATTGTCTTATGTGGACTGATTGAGGGAACTGGGCATGTTCTCTGGTTTTGAAGAATGAGAATTTATATCACTCTGGCTGGTGACTCTAGAAAGGGACATCATCTCAGGGTAAGGGATAGGCCATTTAAGAATGAAATGAGGAGGGATTTCTACACTCAGGCAGTGATGAATCTTTGGAATTCTCTACCCCAGAGAGCTGTGAAAGCTGTCATTGAGCATTTTCAAGACAAAAACTGGTATTTTCTGGATATGACTAATATTAATAGATATGGAGATATAGCAGGAAAGTAACTTGGGGAGATGATTGGACATTGTCTACAACTGCTGGGTAGGCTTGATGGACTGAATGGCCCATTTCTGATTCAATGTTCCTACGAATGATAGGAGGTCCAAGATTGGGGAACCATTTACATTCAAGGGATTTAAGCTTTATAGAGTAGGAGACAGAATGTTTGTCTGAGACTTGGTGTTGCTGTATATCCAAAGTGTCCAAAATCCATTGAACTGCAGTACAGTGAAGAGCCATTGTTCTAAAAGACAGAAAGAAACCTGGCAAAAATAAAGACAATTTATAAAACCCAGCAGATGAGTATTCCTCAGATGAGTCACATTGATTGCAGGAGCAAATTACTGCAGATGCTGGAATCTGTGGTGAAAATAAAAAATGCTGGAAATCATAGGGGTCAGGCAGCATCCATGGAGACAGAGCAAGGTAACGTTAGCTTTATACCATCAGGTCACATGCCATAATATGAAGATGACATAATGAATATGTCCCTAAAGGTACCACATATTTGCAGCAAGATATCTTTACTTCTTTAGATGACTCTTCATCAGAGCTGATGTGAAGTGTGGAGGGGACAACATTTATGTAATTGTGGGTAAGTGAAGGCTGGGGAAAAAGGGTGTAGATAATGCAGATTAAGTTGACTGCATTGATTGTAGTGTGGCAAATTATCAAAAGCCAGATATTACTGCACCAGCTCAGCAGGTCTGGCAGCATCTGTGGAGAGAGAAATAAGAGTTAACGTTTTGAGTCCAGTAATGGCTTCTACAGAATCTTGTTACTATTTTTGGCACAAATGCGCTTCAATAATAACATTTGCACACGCACAACTCATTGAAAGTTTGGTTTTACAGAAAAGAACAACATAGATAAATTGGTTAAGTACAATACAGCACTTTAGGGTGCTTCACTCCAATACCACGCTGATTGCAGCTACATTGCATTGAAACACATTCACCCTGAGTGTTTTGACCTTGTTTGCAGAACCTTCATAAATTAATAATCAATATTGAGAGATAAAGATTGGATACTTTCAAAGGAATCTTCCTGCTCGGTTTTCTTTCAATGAAAGCAGTTGCATTTCGTAAAGGGCAGCATTGTGGATGACGATTTTGCAGACTCTTGTTTCATTCAAATGCATGGCCCTGGAGCTGCAGCACCAGCCACGCCCCCTCCGCCTTTGATTGACAGCCAACGGGGTGACGCCATCAATTTGCGACACTACCCGGCCGCAGTCACCAGGGCAACAGGAGAGAAGATGGCGGAGACGGTGAGAGGGTTGTGGGCATGGGAGTGGCCGGGGGGGGGGTAACATGAAGGGTTCGGACCCGGAACCTCCCTTAAACTCTCGGAATTCCTGAGCATCGTCAATCCCTGAGTCAGGATGTAGCCTTCAGATACCCATCAAACACTCCCAGGGACAGGGACAGTACAGGGTAAAGCTCCCTCTACACTGTCCCCC